TTAAATCCCCGGAGTACAGCATCCATAAAGGAACCTAGCAAACAAACGCATCCATCTCTAGATGAGAGGTGTCCAACTTCGCCACTTGGCTCCGGGAACGGTATCTCAAGGGCCTCTTCCAAACAGAACTACATCGTATGCGTCGTATATACCAAGGCGAATAGCACTAAACTACTCACAAGCTTCGTTTCAATATCAACCGCGAATTGTGAGATATATTTCGGAAGGTATGGCGGGATTATTTCCACAGTCGCCGCTAATGCCAAATTTTTCCCAGCCACCACCAGCTCATGGGTTGATTGCACTTATGCCTCAGCGAGGACAGCATTTTCAGTTTTCACATTGGCAGCCTAATCTGTCAAATGTCGGGTTACGGCCATAAGGGTATAATCCATATGATCCTCGGCCTATAGGCAGTGCAAACTCAGAGGTCTCTAAACATCAGAATTTGGCGAACTGGGTGTGCGTTTTGACAGTACAAACAAAAGTATGAACGTTCAAAAATTTATATTTAGGATTGGAGAGCTGAAACGGGATTGAAATTACCTGGAAGATGAAGTTATCACCAAATGTCACCAGCTATAAGACAAACCGGCCTTAGAATGATATTTGAACCACCGTAAGTTTGTCCTGATTCGTTCGTGGAAGGAAATAGAATTTCAAAGAATGAATTTCAATACATACCCAAAATCTCAACCGACGTCAACAACCTCAAGAGTTGAGACCCTCTTTAATCAGATGAGTGTCTCCTCCCAAATGCTAAATTTTGGGAGAGTTTTAACGACAAATAAAAAGAGCCGCCAGTGTTATAGACAGCCGTAGACAACAGTAACAACGGTATTCGTTTCCACAATGAGTACATTTGATCGACTTCCTAGAAGAATTCTTGCAGGATTTTCGAATCGATGCGATAAACACGCAGACGAGATATAGATGTTGGAATTGCGGTGTCGAAGGTCACAGTTTGATGGACTGTAAGGCACCGCGGAATCGTCGGTTGTGCCTGGATGCTCGTAAGCTCAACGCGATTACGGTGAAGGATGCCTATCCCCTGCTGCATATTGAGGGTCTGCTCAGTTGGCTGGGACATAGGTACTTTATTTCCAGTGTCGATGTTTTCTGGCAAATACCCTCAGATAAATCTAGTAGAGAGAAAACTGCCTTCACAGTGCCAGAAAGACAAGTTTACCATTTTATGGTCATGCCTTCGGTGTCCAAATTCGTTTCAAATGGTGGAGAGTATTCAAAGTTCGGCCCAGCCGAACTTACTGCTTTTTAGCATGTTTCTCCTCGATTTCACTCTTATAGCAAACTCTCACTCTATTTCGAGCGTTTCGTCTCCAATTCTAATTTTCAAAAAGGGGTGAGGTGGAGCGCTTCCACTCAAAATAAAAGTGTGGAAAGTGAACTCCGTGTAAAACTTCCCACTTACGACAAAGTCGCTTGCAATTAAAAATTAAAAATTAAAAATTAAAATTAATTAAAAGCCAAAAAGGAAAACTAAAATTATTTCTTTAGTGTACCATAAATCTAAAATCGACTGAATTTTAATAAGAAACGTTTTCAAATGTGGCTAAGGTTAGGGGTCCTGTCTCAGTCTAATATTTTGCTGGATGACTCTTGAGAGTCATAATGTTAGAATGCACAGTGCAATTTGAAATTGAAAAGTTCAAACAAGTAATTGAGAATTTAAAACAATCAAGTTAAATAGTATCAGTCTGTTTTACCGACAGATGTATACCCCATTTTAGCTAAATATAGGGTGCAAGCATCTTATTAATTTTTTCATCCAAACAAAGGTTCAGTTTTTATACCCTCAGCCATTTAATATGGCCAAAACGTGCCTGATCGAAAAAACGGTTTTTGACCCTAGGTCTCTTTGGACCAAATCCGATTCAGGTCATTTGGAGTCGATCTAGCGATGTCTGTCCGTCCTACTGTCTGGCTGGCTGGTGCGCACGATAATTCTCGAAAAAAGTACCCGATTTGGTCAAAACTTGGTACATACTAATATTATTATCATACATAGATCGGTCCACTCCTTCTGGAACCTCCGCCACAAAAGGTCTAAATTTTCAAAGAAAATATTTTACTACACAGAGAGAAAAAGGATAATCCGATTTTGCTCCAACTTTGCAAATCCTAGTATTTGTATCTGTTCTAAATGATATACAGTGTGAGATAAAAAAACTATATATATATATATATATATATATATATATATATATATATATATATATTTTTTTTTTTTTTTTTTTGCTTTGATTCAATAAAATCCGGAGATTTTGGTGGCCATTGTACGCTGGAAATGGAAGGAGAAACCTCATTTGTAACTATTCTTGGGTGGCGCGTGCTGAGTGCATGGTGCTAAGTCCTGTTGGAATGTCCAAGGTCTGCGGCCAAAATGTTTCCGTTCCCAAGGCTTTAATACACCCTCCAGAATATTTTCGCGATAATAGTCAGCATTTATTCTGATGCCATGGGCGATAAATATGAGCGGAGAGCGACCATCGGCTGTTATGGCGGCCCACACCATCACCATGGCCGCGCTTGAGTTCTGGTGGTCAACCGAAGGTTCACATTTTCAGCTAACCTCTTTGGCAAGTAAACACGATCATTTAGCTTGTTTACAAACTATTGGACAACGAATGTTTTCTCATCGGAGAAAACCTAATTATTTCAAATTGAGAGACAACAGAAATACATATTTTTCAGAAGTTAAGGTGGGAATACATAAAACGTTTTTTGACTGGATTAAGTCATCGGCTGGAGTAGGTGTATATTTTATATTCTCCTTAAATCTGCCATTAACCTCCAGGTAATGCTAATGCTGTTTGTAGTAATAGATATTTCGGCACATAAATACATATTTAAACGTTTACTAATTCCTCTTGCATGTTGGTAACAAACATAATAAATCGGATGAACAGTATATATGGGAGCTATAGCTATATTTGAACCGATCTTCACCAACTTTGATATACTAGCTTCTAGACTCAATTCGGTCGTAAGTGTCAAATCCCATCCCATTTGGACAAATATTAGACGTTTGGTGCACAATAAAACGTAAATCGATCGAAGTTTTATATGGGAGATATATCCAAATCTGAACCGATCTCGATAAAATTTAGCATACTTATTTTCAGGCCCAATTTGGTTGTATGTGCAAAATTCATACTATTCGGGCTGATATTACACGTTTGGTGCACAATAAAAAGCAGATCGGACGAACAGAATTATATATATAGATATATATATAGGTCCACGATATCGTTTAACCCGATACAATGGTAACCACCGATATTCGGTATTTTTATGATTTGATGATTTCAGCCAAATTTTTCAATAGAGTTGGCTTAAACCCCATACAAGCAGTTCCTCCTGAGTATTTTACCCCCTAAAATAGAATTGTCTATATAGTTCCATGATATCGTATATCCCCCATACAACTGTACCTCCCTACGTTCGATATTTTGATGATTTTAGTCACATTTTTTAAAGGAATTGTCTGAAATTCTACACAACAATTTCTCTGTGAGTACTTTAGAAAGGGAATTTTCTATATAGGTCCACGACATCGTATAGCCACGAAAGGAGTCCTCTACCCCCTGGAAAAGAATTGTCTATATATTGTCCCATATAACGCCGAGGGTGAACGACGAATACCCCGAGGTATTCGATATTTCCAGGATTTTCGCAACATTATTCACCGGAATTGTGTCAAATTTCGCATTTGAAGTTCGTAATGGGTATTACAAACTATGTCGGAAAATTGTCTATCCAGGTCCACGTCTTAGTATAGCACCCATACAACGGTAATTGCCTTTATTCAGTATTTTGATGATATTAGAGACGTTATTCAACGGAATTGATTCGAATTTCGTATTTGAAGTTTAGAATCGAGACTACAGCTTATGACAGATATAACGATTTTTATACATATGATGGTTTTTATTTGAGCGATATTTTTCGACATATTTATATAAATATATATTTTTTTGTTTGTTTAAAAATTTCCTTCCGAATACTGGAGGGTATATAAAGGTCGGCCCGGCCGAACTTAGCTGCTTTTTAACTTGTTTAGTCTTTTGTTATATTAACTGATTGCTTCATCAGATCTATAGATGCCTTTATGATTCCTTTTTTCAACGGAATGTTCTAGCTCCACCTACATAATGTGGATTCATGACGTATTGGACAGCCCTTGTTATACAAATGCCTGTATGCGACCATAAACTACCAGATATGTTTTCACATTTTCAATTATTTCTTCGAGGATTTTTCAACTTTTTTATTTGATTTTAGCTAAATATAGAGTGCAAGCATCTATTTCCATTGTTAAGTTATTAATTTTTTCATCCAAACAAATTTTCAGTTTTTATACCCTCAGCCATTTAATATGGCCAAAACGATGTCTGTCCGTTCTACTGTCTGGCTGGATGGTGCGCACGATAATTCTCGAAAAAAGTACCCGATTTGGTCAAAACTTGGTACATACTAATATTATTATCATACATAGATCGGTCCACTCCTTCTGGAACCTCCGCTACAAAAGGTCGAAATTTTCAAAGAAAATATTTTACTACACAGAGAGAAAAAGGATAATCCGATTTTGCTCCAACTTTGCAAATCCTAATATTTGTATCAGTTCTAAATGATATACAGTGTGAGATAAAAAAACTGCAACAAAGTCAAACGCCATAATGTTATTTTTTTTTAAAATTTTATTGAATCAAAGCAAAAAATATAATATAATATATATATATATATATATATATATATATATATATATATATATATATATATATATATATATATATATATATATATATATATATATATATATATATATATATATATATATATATATATATATATATATATATAATATATATATATATATATATATATATATATATATATGCCCGAATGTTACTCTGCGGTATTTTGGCCCATTCCTGGCGAACCTTGCTTTCAATAATACTCCAGACACAGCGACCATCGGCTGTTATGGCGGCCCACACCATCACCATGGCCGCGCTTGAGTTCTGGTGGTCAACTGAAGGTTCACATTTTCAGCTGACCTCTTTGGCAAGTAATCATTTAGCTTGTTTACAAACTATTGGACAACGAATGTTTTCTCATCGGAGAAAACCAAATTCGGCAGTTCACCACTTTCGGCCAAGCGAAGCAACTCTTTAGCTCTTTTGAGTCTATTTTCTTTCTGTTGCGGTGTAAGTTCTTGCACTTTTTGGAATTTTAGTGGCTTTATTTCGAGCTCATTTTTCAATATTTGCCGAATGGAATATGGCGATATGTTCAGGTCACGAGCCATTTTTCGGCCACTGCGATGCGGGTTTCGATTAAGTCGCTCCTTTATTTTTCGAACCATTTCTGCAGATGCTGGTACCTGTATCACGGTAACGAGCGGTGGTACGAGACACCAAAGATTTATTGACATTTAAATGCTGGAGTGCTCTAACGATAGCCACTTGTGGTTTTCCTGCCAAATATAAAGAAATCACACTATCACGCTTGAATTACATAACGAATAACTTTTTTTCTGGAAAATTCTCACCAAAATGCTTCTGTACGCTTGTAAACAATATAATGAACTGTCTCTGGAATAATGTTAACAGCTGTCGGACAAGTGTCTTAGTGTCTTAAAATGACAGCAGTCTCAAGTTGGTTGCAGTTTTTTCATCTCAAAATGTGCGCCCGATAACTCTAGAAGGGAGTATCCGATTAGGTACAAACTTGGTAGATGGTAATATTATTATCAAACTTAGATTGTGCTCGGAGATGGGCAATATCGGTATCTCCCCCACAAAAGGTCGAAAATTTTAAAGAAAATATTTTACTGCAGAGAGAGAAAAGGGATAATCCGATTTTGTTCCAACTTTGCAAATCCAAATAATGGTATCAGTTCAATAGGACAATATTGGTTCACTCCATCAAGTACCTCCCCCACAAAGGGTCAAACATTTTGAATACTTATATCTCTTATAAAATCTGATGTAAGCGCCCGATTGTCTTCAAAGTGCACATATCACAATATTTTTATTAACCCAAGGTCTGGTATGATAAAATGTCAACATTCAAAATTCCAAAAGAAAACAGTCTAAATCGGACTGGTGAAACCTTACTGAAATGGACGCCGAAATTAAAAAAAAATGAGTATTGAAAATAAGTTAAAATTAATAATTATTTCTGAATGCTGTTTATTTAGAAAGTTTCGTTTTCAGAATGCGTTGAAGAGTATTTAGAGGTGGAGTTTTCTCAAATCCCAACCCCCGAGAAGCTGACATGGTTGGAGGCGCCGGTTAAATTAATGTTAAGTCTGCTAGAAGACTTAATGCCACAAGTTGGGAAGACAGCCAACCTAAAAAATAAAAAGAAAATGTTCGCCGTAATTAACAAACATCTGTGATTTTAAGCTTAATTTTTCAATTTACCTTTCACTAATTTTGCACTGTTTTCCAATACGGTTTCTTCGTCTGATTCCACATTCAGCCAGTCCTCTTCACTCCTCCATATTTTCTCTTTTTGTTTTTTGCACGACAAATATTAGTTTCTCTTCAGTTTTTAAGTTTATCTTTTTTCTTTATACTTGTTGTCACGCGCGAACTTTGAAATGTATCAATACATTTTTCAACCTTGTTAGTCCTGCCAATTAAATGTCAAATTTACGATTTGCACATTTCTGCTCGGTCAAATTCATGTAGCTAAAACAAGCAGAAATGTGCACCACTCAGCGCAATTTTTCTCTCGAGAGAGCTGCAAGTTTTGCTAGTTTTTGGAGTACGGGAACGCGTTGTAGCAGATTTAGCACTAATTAGTACTAATTTGTAGGTTCTGGAACACAACTAACGTTTCGATTTTTTGTACAACCGAGACACTACTTCGTTCAATTGACCCACAAACTATACAAACTTGAATACAACCTCTCCAAGTTGTACAACCAGTTGTATCGTGTGTGGCTTGCATTACACGTTTATTACGTACAAAAACAAATTTGCATGTGGTTGTTGTTGCGTATATACACAGTTCGTAGATGTGTGTATTCTTTTGAATTAAAAACAAAAAAAAATCGAAATTATTTCAAATTTAGAGACAACAGAAATACATATTTTTCAGAAGTTAAGGTGGGAATACATAAAACGTTTTTTGACTGGATTAAGTCATCGGCTGGAGTAGGTGTATATTTTATATTCTCCTTAAATCTGCCATTAACCTCCAGGTAATGCTAATGCTGTTTGTATTAATAGATATTTCGGTACATATATACATATTTAAACGTTTACTAATTCCTCTTGCATGTTGGTAACAAACATAATAAATCGGATGAACAGTATATATGGGAGCTATACCTATATCTGAACCGATCTTCACAAAATTTGATATACTAGCTTCTAGACTCAATTCGTAAGTTCAAATCCCATCCCATTTGGACAAATATTAGACGTTTGGTGCACAATAAAACGTAAATCGATCGAAGTTTTATATGGGAGATATATCCAAATCTGAACCGATCTCGATAAAATTTGGCATACTTTTTTTCAGGCCAAATTTGGTTGTATGTGCATACTATTCGGGCCAAATTTGGTTGTATGTGCATATATATATATATATATATACATATATATATATATATATATATATATATATATATATATATATATATATATATATATATAGATATATATATATATATATATATATATAGATATATATATATATATATATATATATAGATATATATATATATATATATATATATATATGTTCACGGATAAGAGAACATGTTTTTATGATACAAGAGAATAGGGGGGCTACCTAGTGTAGATGAGAGGGAGTTGTTAAACTGGGATCTTACACGTTTGGTGCACAATAAAAAGCAGATCGGACGAACAGAATTATATATATAGGTCCACGATATCGTTTAACCCGATACAACGGTAACCACCGATATTCAGTATTTTTATGATTTGATGATTTAACCCCCTGAAATAGAATTGTCTATATAGGTCCACGATATCGTATATCCCCCATACAACTGTACCTCCCTACGTTCGATATTTTGATGATTTTAGTCACATTTTTTAAATTTTTTATTTGAGCGATATTTTTCGAAATATATATATATATATATATATATATATATATATATATATATATATATATATATATATATATATATATATATATATATATTGTAAACTGGGATCAATTAGAAGACGCAAAGTCTTTACCGTTTGCTGCTGCACTTGCTTATCAGTCTGAGTCAAGATTACATCCCGTAATGTAACTCCACCATAACATATGCAGCAATTGAAAATTCTGTAATATTTATTTCTAACTCGAAGGTCTGCTCACCACATTTTCTTATCTTATTTCATGTGGACTGTATTAAGAAGATCCCAGTTTAACAACTCCCTCTCATCTACACTAGGTAGCCCCGCTATTCTCTTTTATCATAAAAACATGTTCTCTTATCCGTGAACATATATATATATATATATATATATATATATATATATATATATATATATATATATATATATATATATATATATTTATTTATATACATACATATATATAAGACCGAATTCAATCTAGAAGATAGTATGTCAAATTTGTTGAAGATCGGTTCAGATATAGCTATAGCTCCCATACATACTGTTCATCCGATTTGTTATATTTGTTACCCAAAACCGTAATATGCACTCCGTAACAACGATATTCAGGGAAATATATCAAATACAGCTCAGAAATATCTTTGCCAAATTTTATTGAAATCGGTTCCGATTTGGATATAGCTCCCATATATATCTTTATCCGATTTCCAATTTATTGTGCACCACATGGGCAATACAAGTTCGAATTGAAAATATACAAATGCTTCGGCATATATAGTCAATTGAACTCTAAATTATAATTTATATAATTATAATTATAGCGTGTATGTTGAGTTCTCCCATTAAAACGTTTAATTGTTATGCGGAGCTCTACTAAATTAGCAAAGTGGTGTAGGGTATCATAAAGTCGGCCCCGCCCGACTTTAAGACATTCTTTAGTGGTTTTTAAATTCTTTTGTTTGTTGTGCCAACATAAAGTTTTCCGCAATATTCTTCCTTGTTACCACCACATTCATTTTCGTGTACTACATTATGTTTGCCCATTTCTGAAATTTTACTTTTCATGTTTGTGAATAAAGATTTTCTAGTGTTATGTGAGCTATGTGCTTTTGTGTGTTTATTTTTTTTAAAAGATTTCTAACTTTTCCAATCTTCCTGTATATTTGGTAATTATATCAGGAATTTGTTTATCTTCGGCGGATCTGTTTTCTGCGAATTTCGACCTGTATAGTTGTTATTATAATAATTTTCAATTATGAATTTGGTTATGTGTAATGGGAAGTTATTATTAATTAGAATGTCATTTATATTCAATTAGTTTTGAAAATTAAATTTTTAGTACCTTATTTATTAAGTTTTTCGCTGAATTGATAATTGTTCGTTTTGTGTTTTGATTGATTATTCTACCTGTATTATTTGCATTGGGTATTAATGTGTTCAAATATGGGACTTTCCCGTCGCATTCTTTTTCCAAACAGGTAGATGCATCAGCACTTGGGAACATCGACATGTCAAAATTTTTAAAATGTTTTTCAAAAAAGTATACGACGTCAATTAGAGGTTATTATGATATGCATTTTTCAACAGCTTTAACGAATTTCAATAATTTTTCAATTTCAAAATTGGTTTGACAGTCCATTGTCCCAGCTGCTGCGCTTATGTGACTATCTGTTTTCTTCTACCAGGTTTTTTTTTAATATTTAGTATTGTCAGCGTTTCTTGTATTGTATCTTCCCTTATAATAAGCCATCCACGTATTACGTCAGTACCTTTGGTGTTGATTGCAATGATTGTATGCTTTTGTTGAGCAATGATTCCATAACCAAATCTGCAATTATGGGTTATGTTGGTTTTGTTTGTCTATTTTGTCTTCAAACTCTTGTCCTTTGTGCAAAATTTGACAATATTCAGGTACATGTCTTTGGTTATGTTTGTATAGGTTTTTTTGTATATGAATGGGCAAGAGATTTCGGAGATGAGAAATCTGCAAAAGGAATTAGTAAACGGTAGTAATTCTGTCTCTCTGCCACAAAATATCACATTTATATTATAAATGTCGTATCCATTTTCGAATTGACCAATTGAACGCAGCACTTAAGAATGGAAAAGCAAGACAGAGAGCATTAGCCAATAAGAAATTTGTTAAAATTAATTTGTAGTTTTTGTTGTTTGGTTTAAATATGTATATATGTACCGAAATATCTATTAATACAAACAGCATTAGCATTACCTGGAGATTAATGGCAGATTTAAAGAGAATATAAAATATACACCTACTCCAGCCGATGACTTAATCCAGTCAAAAAACGTTTTATGTATTCCCACCTTAACTTCTGAAAAATATGTATTTCTGTTGTCTCTAAATTTGAAATAATTTAGATCTTTTTTGTTTTTTTTTTTTTTTTAATTCATTTCATTTCATGAATTTGAACGAGCAGAAATGTGCAAATTGTAAATTTGACATTTAATTGGCAGGACTAACAATACAATACTCATTTTTTTAAATTTCGGCGTCCATTTCAGTAAGGTTTCACCAGTCCGATTTAGACTGTTTTCTTTTGGAATTTTGAATGTTGACATTTTATCATACGAGACCTTGGGTTAATAAAAATATTGTGATATGTGCACTTTGAAGACAATCGGGCGCTTACATCAGATTTTATAAGAGATATAAGTATTCAAAATGTTTGACCCTTTGTGGGGGAGGTACTTGATGGAGTGAACCAATATTGTCCTATTGAACTTATACCATTATTTGGATTTGCAAAGTTGGAACAAAATCGGTTTATCCCTTTTCTCTCTCTGCAGTAAAATATTTTCTTTAAAAATTTCGACCTTTTGTGGGGGAGATACCGATATTGCCCATCTCCGAGCACAATCTAAGTTTGATAATAATATTACCATGTACCAAGTTTGTACCTAATCGGATACTCCCTTCTAGAGTTATCGGGCGCATCAGCTGCCAGACGGACGGACGGACGGACATCGCTGGATAGACTCCAAATGTTCTGAAACGGATTTGGTCCAGAGACATCTGAGGTCTAAAACCGTTATTTCGATCAGGCACATTTTGAGATGAAAAAACTGCAACCAACTTGAGACTGCTGTCATTTTAAGACACTAAGACACTTGTCCGACAGCTGTTAACATTATTCCAGAGACAGTTCATTATATTGTTTACAAGCGTACAGAAGCATTTTGGTGAGAATTTTCCAGAAAAAAAGTTATTCGTTATGTAATTCAAGCGTGATAGTGTGATTTCTTTATATTTGGCAGGAAAACCACAAGTGGCTATCGTTAGAGCACTCCAGCATTTAAATGTCAATAAATCTTTTGTGTCTCGTACCACCGCTCGTTACCGTGATACAGGTACCAGCATCTGCAGAAATGGTTCGAAAAATAAAGGAGCGACTTAATCGAAACCCGCATCGCAGTGGCCGAAAAATGGCTCGTGACCTGAACATATCGCCATATTCCATTCGGCAAATATTGAAAAATGAGCTCGAAATAAAGCCACTAAAATTCCAAAAAGTGCAAGAACTTACACCGCAACAGAAAGAAAATAGACTCAAAAGAGCTAAAGAGTTGCTTCGCTTGGCCGAAAGTGGTGAACTGCCGAATTTGGTTTTCTCCGATGAGAAAACATTCGTTGTCCAATAGTTTGTAAACAAGCTAAATGATTACTTGCCAAAGAGGTCAGCTGAAAATGTGAACCTTCAGTTGACCACCAGAACTCAAGCGCGGCCATGGTGATGGTGTGGGCCGCCATAACAGCCGATGGTCGCTCTCCGCTCATATTTATCGCCCATGGCATCAGAATAAATGCTGACTATTATCGCGAAAATATTCTGGAGGGTGTATTAAAGCCTTGGGAATGCAAACATTTTGGCCGCAGACCTTGGACATTCCAACAGGACTTAGCACCATGCACTCAGCACGCGCCACCCAAGAATAGTTACAAATGAGGTTCCTCGTTTCATTTGCAGCGTACAATGGCCACCAAAATCTCCGGATACCAATTCGTTAGACTATTGTGTCTGGAGTATTATTGAAAGCAAGGTTCGCCAGGAATGGGCCAAAATACCGCAGAGTAACATTCGGGCATATATATATATATATATATATATATATATATATATATATATATATATATATATATATATATATATATATATATATATATATATATATATATATATATATATATATATATATATATATATATATATATATATATATATATATATATATATATATATATATATATATATATATATATATATTATATTATATTTTTTGCTTTGATTCAATAAAATTTTAAAAAAAAATAACATTATGGCGTTTGACTTTGTTGCAGTTTTTTTATCTCACACTGTATATCATTTAGAACTGATACAAATATTAGGATTTGCAAAGTTGGAGCAAAATCGGATTATCCTTTTTCTCTCTGTGT